TTGATACATATTTGTTTTGTTGTAGTTTGTGTGTTTTTTGTTTGGTTGGGTTTTTGCAAATCAGTATCAGGCCTTGTGTCCTATGAGGCTCTGCTGCTCAAAGGGTGGTCCTTGGTCCCAGCAGCATCAGCACCAGCACAGACAACCCTCTAAAAACAACAGACATTTTTTTTCCTCAGGGTTTTTTTCTGTTCTCATTTCAAAACTATTCTCCATTTCTCCTCTCAGCAAGAGCTGTGGTTTACATGTGAACTACTGCTATCTCTGCAGAAAAAAAATCACTTTCCCTACCTTGAAAAGAGTTGACTTCTCATCCCATAGTTCGTGGCCTGGGTTGGTGATGCCTGCAGTAGTCGTTTCATTTCCAGTTGCATGGTGGACAGAACAATAAGCAAATCCTCCACGTGGAGGCAAGCTTTGCTGTTTTCAATTCTGCGCTAACCAGCCTTACGCACATGCCGTGAATTTGAGAACCTCTTTTGCCGAAGCCGGGAAAGCTTGTCTGGATTAGAAAAGTCCTCCATAGAAACCTGACACTGTCCTGAGCTGGAGTATTTGGAATCACACACAGGAAAGGCTGCGTGTTTGCTGACCTGCCTGAACGGCAGAATGTGTGTGCGGTTGTCTCCAGTTACAGCACTCCAGGAAGCATCACCCCAAAAGTGCGCTTGCTATGAACCGCAGCGTGTCCTTCGGCTAATCCTCATTAGCTGAGGTGGATTCTCTTTCTACATGTACCCTCTTTTCGAAATGGTATCCTTCCTGCGGTCTTTTCATGCCTTGGCCTAAGACTCTGGACACACAGGCCAGCTTTGTCCCCACCAGATCCATTCGATAGTTTTTCATGAATCACCAGCTCTCCTGGAGAAACGCAGGGTTCTAATTATTGAAGAACCATGCATAGGGAACTGGAGATAAGCCACGGGTAAGAGTTTCTTAAGAAGGGAAGAAAGTCTCATTGGAAGCCCCCTAACATTCAAATGACAGGAACTATCTGATTTCCACCCAAGAATCCAGCTCTGAGTTAGTGGAGGGACCGAATCACACTGATCACCGATCATTTTCTGGGCAGTTCCTCATTTTTTGCTTTCCATCTACAATAAGCCCATCACTGGAAGTGGAGCTTGCCCTGGGAAATGCTATATTGAAGGAAGACCTTGCTCTCTGATCTTTCTCAGTCCTCCTACAGGTGATCGTTCATTCTCTTCCTCCCCTTTCGCATGCCATGCTGATGATTAACCTTCAACAGATCTGATTCTGCCCTGCCTTCATCCTGTTCCTCATTCCCCTGAGCCTCTCGAGCTCTGAACTGAAAACCAAGATGATAAGAATGAGGTCTTTGGCCTCGGGGAGGAGCTTTCTGCTTAGTTATCCAGTTATACCTATAAAAGAATAATCCTAGTACTGTGTGATTAATGATCTAAAGGACATTCAAGAGCTATGGGATCCTTGAGGAAGGAGTGTGTAATTATTTATCTAGAGAAGTGGGATGGGGCAAGAGATTCTAGGCAGTAGGAAAAAACATACCAGATAGAGGCACAGGGCCATGAAACCATATGGAGAAGAGCTTATAAGCAGTTTCTTCAGAGAAATGGTCTTTTCATAAATCTCATCCTAGAAGCTCTGTGTGGAAGGGCCAGTGGGGGAAGAGGGACAGTGACATTCAAGAGCATTTTAAATCTCCTCCCCACATTGCATGGGACTAAGGTGGGTCCTGTCTGGAGTTGCTGCTTGGATAGAAAAAAATGCATGTGGTCCTGTACTCTGACTGTTGGAAGAGGGCTACATAGAGGGAGACAGAAAAAAGTTCTACTCCTTATGAATTCTTTTTCTTAAAATGTTGCTGAAGGTAGCTCTACAAAATTAAGCCCTGGCCAGGTCTTGCGTGGTTCCTGGCCTTTTCTTCGCAAAATTGAGACCCCGTGAACCTCCCTGTCTTCTCATCTGTAGGCTCACACTAATCCCCAGGCTCTAAGATCAAGCCAGACTGGGGTATAAGTAACCTATATGGAATTTCCACACAAATCAGGAAAAGACATCTTCTATGTGGTCCAGGGCATGGTAAGGATAAGGCTCCTTTGAGAGTACTGAGAAAACAGCACTGTTTTTCTTTTTTTTTTGAGACGGAGTGTTGCTCTATTGCCCAGGCTGGAGTGCAGCAGCATGATCTCAGCTCACCACAACCTCTGCCTCCCGGGTTCAAGCTATTCTGCCTCAGCCTCCGGAGTAGCTGGGACTACAGGCATGCACCACCACACCCGGCTAATTTTGTATTTTTAGTAGAGACAGAATTTCACATGTTGGCCAGGCTGGTCTCGAACCCCTGACCTCAGGTGATCTGCCCAAAAAAGGCAGCACTTCTGAAGAAAGAGGCACTTACTTCTTTAGGAAGATGGAATCCACTAATGGGTTATGGCTTGGAGAGCATTGCTGAGCTGGGTTTTATCCCCATCCACTTCTCTCAGTCTGGGGCCCTTGCACTGATCACAATCTGTACAACCATGTGTGGCAGCTCGGGAACATGACCTCTGGGCAGAGAGTTTTAAGGATCAGACATGAGTTCAGTATTGCAAGGTTTAGAATTGAGTCACTGCTGCCACTAGTCCCTCTCTGGCCTGATGTCCTAGCTCTGAGCAGTGGGCTTTATCTCTGCGTCCCAGACTAGTTTCTGCCTTGTTGTGGTTCTGAGCACAGAGCATCATGTGGCCAAGCTGTTGGAGCAGACCTCTCTCTGCCCTGCTCTCCACCCCGAGCTCCATCATGAAAACTCGTCTATTCTGCCAGTCCTTTAAGCACAGGATCTTGCCCTGATAGCTTTGTCCAATTCTGTCCAAGCTGCAATTCTGTCCAATTCTTTTGTTGGGGAAGAAAGAAGGCAGGCCTGTGTAGAGCTTTGGGGCTGACTGCTAAGAGAAGAAATGGCTGGCATTCAAAGCCTGGGGTGTATTAAAATCTGACTTAGGCCAGGTGCCGTGGCTCACGCCTGTAATCTCAGAACTTTGGGAGGCCAAGGCGGGTGGATCATGAGGTCAGGAGTTCAAGACCAACCTGGCCAAGATGGTGAATCCCCATCTCTACTAAAAATACAAAAATTAGCCAGGCATGGTAGCGGACGCCTGTAGTCCCAGCTACTCGGGAGGCTGAGGCAGAGAATTGCCTGAACCCAGGAGGCAAAGGTTGCAGTGAGCCAAGATCTCGCCGCTGCACTCTAGCCTGGGTGACAAAGCGAGACTCCATCTAAAAGAAAGAAAGAAAAAAAAAGTGTGACTTATAAAGAAAATTGATCTAAGATGGAGGATGAACTCTCAGGAACAGAAAGCGACAGTATAGAGACTGCTGGCAGCCCACCCAAGAGTGATTTCCCTTTTGTGTTCTTATTTTGTTTCGGTAGGAAAAGTGGTGTAAGTGAATCATGATAATCCTATTTCTTTCTGTAATGATTTAGGGTAGGCCTGTGCCCTAGTTATAGGGAAGTCTAATGAGAGCTTCTGGGAAAGATTTTCTTCCCTCGCCACCCCCACCTGCCTTTGGAAGTTGTCACGTGGGGATGTGATACCTGGAGCTGCAGCAGCCACGTTGAGACCATGAACAAACAAAGATATGAAAAAATAGGGACACTAAAACAAAATGTTGACTTTATTGAACTGCTACATTAATCAATCCTGTCTCTGGACTTCTTGTTATGTGAGAGGACAAATGTCCATTGGTTAAACTATTGTTGTTGAGTATTAACGGTTAGTGAAAATAACTGATATGGAAATTATTGTTTGCTAGGCATTGTGCTGCAACTTCATAATATTCATGACAACTCTATGCAATATATATTCCTGTTATCTCTCTTTTTGTATATGAATAAACTGAAGTTCAGAAATGTAAAGTATTTTGCCCAAAAACATTTCAAGGAACATACTTGTTTACATATATTTTGATAAATGGGATTAATTATTTTATTGAGTTAATTTCTTAGGAGAGAAACTACAAGCTTAAAGAGTATGCATGTTGTTATTGATTAAATGTCTGTCTCCCCCCAGAATTCATATGTTGAAGTTCTTACCCTCATTGTAACTGTATTTTGAGACAAGGTCTTTAAGACCTAATTAAATAAAGCTGTAAGAGTGGGGTCCTGATCAGATAGGATTAGTGTCCTTGTAAGAAGAGATACCAGATAGCCCCATCTCCATGCGCACACAAAAAAGAGGTCATGTGAGGACATAGCAAGAAGGTGGTTGTCTGCAAGCTACGAAGAGAGCCCTCACCAGGAATGGAATCAGCTAGCACCGTGATCTTGGACTTCCCAGCCTAGAACTGTGAGAAATAAATAAATTCCTGTTGTTTAAGCCCTCTAATCTATAGTATTTTCTTGTAGCAGCCTAAGCTGACTAAAAGGCTTTTGATACCTACTGTCAAATTGTCCTCCAGAAACATTATACCAGTGGCACTCCCACCAGTAGCATATAAAAAATACATATTTCCCTGTGCTTATACCAGTACTGAATGTAACCTTAGAGGAACTGAATTTAAATTGCAGTATACCTTACAACATTGGGTATGCTTGGACAAACCACTCCTCTCTCTGAGTCCCAGTATCCTCATTTGTCAAATTAGCATCATGATAATCCCTGTCTTGTTGGTGCCATCTCACAGCACTGTTGGGAGTTCCAATGAGATGAAGTATGAGAAGATGTTTTGCAAACTGTAAAGGAAAACATAAGTATTGGTGGTGGTGTTATTCATCTCACTGCCTCAGTAGAATAAACTGTAGAATGTTTAGGAGGTCAAATGAAACAGTCAAAAATAATTTTGCAGTGTTCAGTCAACTCCAACGGTGTGAAAATTAGTCAAACTGAGAAATGCACGAATGCTTTGGTTACAGTCTCGAAGGTCAACTTGAATCCGAATTCAATGTCGGCTGGACCCAAGTAATGTTCTGAATGTAGAAAAGTAGCTCCAAAGAGTCTATGCACTTCCCTTTCCTCATTGCAGAATTATCTTCACACTAGGTTGACATTCTTAACCTTCCTGGATCCTATCAGGGAAACCTCATTCATCATTTCATTTCCAAATTATGAAGACCATCTGGGCCTGAGTGAAGATGCTTGTTTCTTCCTCTTCCCTAATGCCCTTTCCACCAGTGTGAACTGCAGGTATGGACACAGGGCAGGATGGGTAAGTGTTAAGTGCTATGAGCTCCAAGGAAGAAGAAATTCTGTATGTACAACCAGATAGTGCATATGTGGGTAATGCTTATTTTATGCCCATTTAATTAATGCCATGATCACTATTGCTTCTAGTAATTAATTTGATTTTCATTAGTAGTGGAAAAATAGACCAACTCCTTGAAATCAGAGAGAGCTTTAAAAAATGCTCAGCCAGGAGGTGTTAAGTATTTCACTAAGTGTGAAACTTCTGGCAAAACCCCCATCTCAGCATTCAATTGTTGTCTTTGTTAAGAGTTGTTGACATAGATACAGGAATAACTTTTGACCAGCAATTCCATAAATATTTTACTCTACTGAAATCCATTTTTTGATTTATAAGCTGCACATTTAATGTAAATAGCACATTATTCCCCCTGTCACAGAGCTGATATAGTAATGATTGTCTATAAGTGATAATTATTCTGCATTTAGGGTTCTCTGCATGATCTTGGCTCACTGCAACCTTATACAAACCTTATACAAACAGTTATATCTCAAGCTGACCCTAGGCAAAATTATAAAATGGTCTAATAAATTATCTTTTACTTATATCTTATGTTCTGCTGCTGCTGCCTTTTTTTTTTTTTTTTTTTTTTTTTTTTACATAGGGTAGACTCCCAGGAGTGGGATTTCTGGGTCAAAAGGTATGTCAAATTTGTCTTCTATTATTGTCAGATTGTTCTCCAAGAAGACATTAATCTAGCGATCTAGCAATGTGTAGTAAGTTTCTCCTGCAAACCCGCCAACAAGAGATGCTATCTATCTTTAGAAGGTTATGCGTACAATGCTGTATAAAGTGGTATGATATTGTGTACTTACTTGCATTTCTTTGACTATTAGTAAATTTGAGCATATTTTTACTTCAAGCCTTGTAAAACTTTTAACCGTTCAAGTTTTTTCTTTTACTATCTTCCATTACATCTTACAGCAACCAGCCATTTTACTTCAAACACAAAATTAATCTATTTTCCATAAATAAAAAACGCATCCACTATCATAACATATATTCATATTTCTTTGCCGCTATATCCCTCCATCACTCACATCAATTACAATTTTGACTAAAGTCATTATCTTTGAGGTACATCTACTTTTTCACTTTCTGGAATTTCTATATTCAGATGCTTGGGGGACTAATGGTCTAAAGTTCTTATCATCCTGTTGCTCCATTTTTTATCTCTGTATCTTTTTTTTTTTTTTTTTTGAGATAAGGTCTCTGTTGCCCAGGCTGCAGTGCAGTGGCATGATCTCGGCTCACTGCAACCTCCACCTCCCCAGTTCAAGTGATCCTCTTGCCTCAGTCTCCCCAGTAGCTGGGATTACAGGTGTGTGCCCCTAGGCCCAGCTAATTCTTGTATTTTTAGTACAGATGGAATTTTGCCATGTTGGCCAGGCTGGTCTCAAACTCCTGACCTCAAATGATCCACTCCCCCTCAGTCTCCCAGAGTGCTGGGATTACAGGCATGAGCCACCACTCTCGGCCATCTCTATACCTTTTTGTTCTATTTGCTAGTAGCTCCTAAACTTCATGTCCCACCCCTTCTATTGAATTTTTAGTTTCTGCTTTCATGTTCTTAATTGTGAAGAACTTCTTTTTGTTCTCTGAATGTTTCTTTTAAAAATGCTATTCTATTCTTATTTCATGGATACAATATCTTAAATCTCAATGTATATATTTTAAAAAGAGTTCTCTTACTCTCAGCAATCTCTCTAATTGCTGTTTTTGGTCCCTGTCTTCCATGTGAGAAACGTTCCTTGGGGGCTGGGCACGGTGGCTCACGGCTGTAATCTCAGCACTTTGAGAGGCTGAGGCGGGCAGATCATGAGGCCAGGAGATCAAGACCATCCTGGCTAACATGGTGAGACCCTGTCTCTACTAAAAATACAAAAACTTAGCCGGGCGTGGTGGCGGGCACCTGTAGTCCCAGCTACTCGGGAGGCTGAGGCAGGGGAATCGCTTGAACCCAGAAGTTGGAGGTTGCAGTGAGCTGAGACCACACCACTGCACTCCAGCCTGAAGGACAAAGTGAGGCTCCTTCTCAAAACAAAAACAAAACAAACAAAAAAAGCAAAACACAAACAAAAAACGTTCCTTGGGTGTCTCGTCATCTTACTTGTCTGTTCTTATTTGAGAGTGGGGAGCTAAGAGGCTGGCTGGTGTTCTGGGTGTGTTAGGTGGGCTTGTGGAATGCAGAGTGACCCCACTGTTCGGATTTGTGAGGAGCTCTATTCCCTACCCCTCCACTGTCCCGCTTCCCACCGCACCACATCCACATGTTTAGATCTATCTTCTTGTCCAAGTCCCCTGAGAAGAGTCTTCAGTCTCTTGCCTGGAGGGTAAGAGCTTGACTGTTCGAACTGTGGATGTTGAGAAGGACTGGAAATCTACGTGTTTTCAGTTAATCCCATTTAAGTCCAGGCTGGTGCAGGGAGACAGCCTTTCTTCCCCCTTCCCCAAAGAATAAAGCCTAACTCTGGGGTGAGGAAAGGAGTGTGGAGTAGAAAGGGATTGAAGAGTCTGACTGTGTCTTACACAGATTTCAACCCATCCTTATTTTAGTTTCTCACTTTGCCCCCACTTCCAGAGGTACCTAGTGCCTCCCATTCCTGCGCTTTTGGAGAATACTGTGTTGCAAATCAAGCTGATTCTTCACCTTTCCCATGGATGACTTAAACCCTCTGATGTGCTAAGCCAGCTCTCATTCTTATGCCTGCTTTCCAGACCCCGACTTTGTGTTGCCTCCTCTCCAATTCTCCATGTCCTTAAAGCTCTGTCTTCTTTCATTGCAAAATCTTTTGTTAGGTCTGGTGCGGTGGCTCACACCTGTAATCCTAGCACTTTGGGAGGCCGAGGCGGGAGGATCACCCGAGGTCAGGAGATCGAGACCATCCATGGCCAACCCCATCTCTACTAAAATACAAAAAATTAGCCAGGCGTGGTGGCAGGCGCCTGTAGTCCCAGCTACTCGGGAGGCTGAGGCAGGAGAATCACTTGAACCCATGAGGCAGAGGTTGCAGTGAGCTGAGATCACGCCACTGCACTCCAACCTGGTGACAGAGCAAGACTGTGTCTCAAAAAAATAAAATAAAATAACACATAAAAAAACTTTCATTATAGTTTTTGGAAGGATTGAAATTACATGCACTCTTCAATCCTTATGGCAGCAAATTTTTCTTTATCATTTTGTTTTATGTGTCTTCCTTGCAATTAGTATTAACCTAGGATTTTTTTTAAACCCAGTCTCTGCTTTGTAGTTTAATGATTGATGTATTATATTAGATTTTTTCATATATCTTTATATTTGCTATTTATTTTATACATTTTTATATGCTATTTTCTTTTTCCCTTTGTTTGGTAGGTTTGATCAAGTTCAATTGGTTTCTTTTCCCTTGATAATTACTATATTTTTCCATTCTGTGTTCCCTTGTCTCTCATAATTACATAGACATTTCTTTATGATTTTTGAAAACAAGATTCCAATTATTTCCGTAATCCAGATGTCCTTTAAGCTTCATGCTTTCTCCCTCCGTCAGAATACATTTCCTCGTTCTTCCGCCTTCTCTCCCAGCAAACGAGGCCTTTGGAACTTTTTTTTTTGAGACGGAGTCTCTCTCTGTCTCTCAGGCTAGAGGGCAGTGGCGGAAGCTCAGCTCAACCTCCGCCTCCCAGGCTCAAGCGATTCTCTTGCCTCAGCGTCCCAAATAACTGGGACTACAGGCGCCCCCACCACGCCTGGCCAATTTTTTGTATTTTTAGTAGAGACAGGGTTTCATCGTGTTAGCCAGGATGGTCTCTATCTCTTAACCTCGTGATCCACCCGCCTCAGCCTCCCAAAGTGCTGGGATTACAGGCGTGAGTCACCGCGCCCGGCTGACCTTTGGAACTTTTATGCTACATCTTTCTCACCCCTACATTCGACTCTCATCTCCAATACCTCGACAAAATAGTTGAGAGCATTCGATCCTGTACTCCCATTAGAATTTCTTCTTCTGGGATGCTTCTTCTTTAAGGGTTCCTATTTGAAAATAATCCTTGGATAGTGTGTTTAGAAACGTTGTATCTGGAACCAGACTGCTTGGATTTGAATCCTGACTCTGCCATTTCCTGATTTTGTGACTATGGATCAGTTATTTAATCACTCTGTGCCTCCGTTTTCACCTTGGGGAAATGGAGTTAACACTAGTACCATCTTCATAGAATTTTTATTTATTTATTTATTTATTTATTTATTTATTTTTGAGACAGGGTCTCACTCGTATGATCACGGCTCACTGAAGCCTCAATCTTCTGGGCTCAAGTGATCCTCCCACTTCAGCTTCCCAAGTAGCTGGGACTACAGGTACACACTACCACACCCAGATAATTTTTTGTAATTTTTATAGAGACAGGGTTTTACCATGTTGCCCAAGCTGGTCTCAAACTCCTGGGCTCAAATGATCTGGCTGCCTTGGCCTCCCAAAGTGCTGGGATTATAGGTGCAAGCCACCACACCTGGCCCCTGACAGCAATTTTGTGAGAGTTAAATTAGTCACTTTATGAAAAATATTTAAAACAGTACTTAGTTCACAGTTCAATAAGTGTTAACTTATTAACATTTAAAAACACATTCATAAATATTATATCATTATTCTATGATATATTATTAAGATATATTTATGTGTCTCTGTGCATATATATTATCTATTGATGTATCCATCTATCTGTATCTTTTTTTTTTTTTTTTGAGATGGAGTTTTGCTTTTGTTGCCCAGGCTGGAGTGCAATGGCGCAGTCTCGGCTCACCGCAGCCTCTGCCTCCCGGGTTCAAGCAATTCTCCTGCCTCAGCCTCCCCTGTAGCGGGGATTACAGGTGTGCCACAAAGCCCAGCTAATTTTTGTAGTTTGGTAGAGATGGGGTTTCACCATGTTGGTCAGGGTGGTCTTGATCTCCTGACCTCAGGTGATGATCCGCCCACCTTGGTCACCACACCTGGCCATATAATGCCTACTTAAGCATCAGTTGCTGGCCTGTTCAGTGTTGCTTACATGGTTCTGGTCTGCACTGGGCAAGGGCGTTTGGCAATGAGGAAGGAGTGTGCTTGGTTTAGAATAGCAGCTTCTGTGGTTCTTTTTAGAGGCATCATTTCTGCCCAAATCTGGGGTGCCTTTTCATTGATCTACATTTGGGAGTTAACTCAAATAAAAGGAGAGTTTTATTCTAATTAATTAAATTAAATTAATTAATTAATTTAATTTTGAGAGAGTCTTGCTGTGTCGCCCAGGCTGGAGTGCAGTGGCACAATCTCAGCTTTTTGCCGCCTCTACCTCCTGGGTTCAAGAGATTCTCATGTCTCAGCCTCCCAAGTGGCTGGGACTACAGGCGTGCACTACCATGCCTAGCTAAATTTTGTATTATTAGTAGACAGGGTTTCACCATGTTGACCAGGCTGGTCTCGAACTCTTGGTCAAAATTGATCTGCCTGCCTTGGCCTCCCAAAGTGCTGGGATTATAGGTGTGTGCCACTGCGCCAGGCCTTATTTTGTTTTTATATTTATTTATTTATTTATTTA